GGGGGGGGGGGGGGGGGGGGGGGGGGGGGGGGGGGGAAGGGAGGTAAGAAAGAATAATCACAAGGAGAAAATACTCGGTTAGGCTGTTTGGAGGGAGGAAAGGCATTGATTGAGTTTGGACTGGGTTGATTGATAGGAGTTCTTCGGTGCTGGATTCGGCGAGAAATAGGAGGAACTAGCGTCGGTGGAATGTTGCGGCTAGCACTGAAATTTATGATAAAATTCGGTGTATCGGGGCCATTGTCGTATCGTATATAATTTCTCGAGGATTTTGTCTGTATTACTAAATATGACTGGCTTTGCGCTGAATGAAGTGTTATTTAATCAGTATTCGTATAATTGATCGACATTTTGTCGTGAGCCAAGAGAACGGCTAAAAGAAGCTGGCAAACAATGTTCATGACTTAGTCTTTGGCCGTTGAGTCTCAGTGGCGGGAGTTTAGCGGAAAATCTGCGAAAAGCCGGCAGAGAAGAAGCTGTCACAAAGAAGACGATGCACATACTGCCTGTGAGAGACAGCAAAAAAGAAATGTCTGTTTCACAGTAGATGTGTTGCCAGGTTAGCCCTGGAACACAAGGGCCGGTGGTGTCGTGGCTAGCATGTCGCGTTCGTATGTAAGGGAGACTGGCTCAGAACAAATGTTTTCGAAAAGGAGTTCCGTTCACGACAGTCAGAGCTGTGTCCTTCCAGGAAGACGTTAGGTAAGAGTTGCTCAGGATTACTGATCTGAGCTGAACAGTGCTAACTCTCTGTCTAAAACGTCCAGAACCTTTTCATACATTTTGTTCTGTATCAGAGGTGCACCAGTCTTTCATATAATTTGGAAGTAAATAAATCGTGTGAAAAACTGATGCGTATCCACACGGAACAAAATGTGAATTCTCAAACCAGAAGCTGATTGATGGGGCGCTTCACAAAAACTCACGTAGATTCCAGCTTAAATTAATGTTGCAGCGGTGCACTCAGTCAGAAATTTCTCTTGCAAGCGTAGTCACTTCAACGATAAATTATCTCAGCAGGGTTTTTATTGAAGGTGATGGATCTCTTAAAAAGTGGCTCGATAAGGCACTGCCATTGGGTATCGATGAGCGTTCCGATTCATTGGCGCAGGATGCAGAACTTGCGGAAGCTCATGAAAGTTGTGCTCGAGGTGGTGATACTGATTCGGAAGCTGCTGTAAACCACCATTTCATCTGTTATCTCAATTGCAGTGATACGCTTCTCGAACTGGGTGGGTATATGCAGTTGATTCGTTTGCAGTTTTCTTGATGAGGTCATGTTTCTGCAAGCTAATTTGCGGCACGTTTTGAAAGTATCTTACGTGGAATAATTGTGGTTTTCAGCGTTTCCCTCACTAAAGAATTTGAAGACCGTTTCATTTACCGGTTTATACGGTACAAGACGTTTGGGTTGATAGAATTTTTTTATTAAAATTGTCCTGGTATTTTGGAGTGGACATAGGAAAATTGGCCACTAACTCTCACTCACTGGCATTTTCTTCACATTTTTTTCGGCTTTTACATTTGAAAGCATTTCTCATTTGGCGGCTGAAACATAAGCGGTTCAGGAATTATTTATGATCAGTTCTGATGTTTCAGATTCGCGAGCACCGTTACCGCGCAAGATTGGCCCAACCAGCGATGCTACATTCTTGAGCGATGTTGGTACTGCGTGCAAGTCGCTGATGGACCAGTTGGGGAATGTTTCTTTTAGTGCACTTGCGATCGTTCGCTCTTCCCATTAGGCATCTGTGCTTGATTATTGGCAGCCTGCAGAATCCCATATCGTTTTTTTTGCAGCCCGCCTGTCTGTCGAGCCAGCCTTCTGTGAAAATGGGGCTCGGATCAAGCTTTGGCTTATCTGCTTCCCTGTGCTCTTAATTGTGCGAGCTTTTTTTCCGTTTGCTTTAAATTATCTGCTTTTGTATGTTTTTAATTCCCAAGTGCATCCCCATTTTTAGAGATTTTGCGAAGAATTGGGCGCCCAGTTGATTGCTTATTGCAATGAAGTTCTTGATTGTTTTACAGGGAGATGCACGTTCGTCGGATAGTGTGTAGATGTTAGTCTGTAGTTTATATTTCGTTAATATTGGAAATGCGTAGAGGTATGCGATAAACCTTTTGCAGAAAGTGCCCGGAAACGCAGTATGATTTCTTAGGTAGAATAGTGACGTTAAGTGTTAACCAGTTCCTCACTTTCTGTATTGGTTATTTCCCATCAATTTCATTAGGGTTTGTGTTGAACTGTGTTGGGTTTTTTGAAAGGACCGAAAGCCATTTTTCTTACGGGGCGTGATGGTAGGGACATCATACGATAGCTTTTCAGTAGATCGTCCTTATCTGCGCATCATTTTATATATAATTCCAAGCCCATTGATATTTGCTTGCATTCCACAGAGACGCTTTTTTTTGCGGGAATACAAACTCATTTGTTAACTGAACGGCATTTTGCTGCCTGTGCTTATGCTGTGGTTGCGCGTGTAAGTTCATTATTCTTGCGCTTATTTGTCTAATGCGATAAACGTTATTTGCTGTTTTTGCAGGGCAGAGGCAGTCTTGTACAAATTTGAAAAAGTGCATTTTCTTTTGTTGCGACTGAGGAAAATTGTGCTGCAAAATCACCTGTTTTCAGCCTCGCAAGCATTAGGTCGATATCAAGGATTTATGGTCCTTTCAGGACTGACAACAAGAAAATCAGAACCCATTGTTTTCCTGACAGCCTTTGCAGAATTTGTTATTGTTGAGAAGCCAGCATTTCTCACCCAGTGGCAGTATTTAACTGCATTATGGTTATGAGAGTGAGAATTTTTGGACACACTTTTCTGTTGGCAACTTTTCTGAGTTAAAGCAGAACTTCCTGAATTGCGAGGGGCTTTCACCATCAGCAGCGAAAAATCCATCAGGTGCCCTGTCCGACTGCTTCTGATTAATAGCACTTTTTTTTAATTGTAGGAGCAGGGATTTGTTGAATTTAGGTTAACAGGGTTTCAAAAAAATTGTACTTCACATCGACTTGATTTTGTCGAAGTTTTGCCCGTCCAGTACGCAACAGAAATAATTTTGATACGGCGTCGCAGTCTCGAAATCTTCGCTAAAATCTATTCTGAAGAAGGCAGGCTCTCTGTGATCTCACCGTGTGCAGTTTGTTTGTGTCGTTAACAAGTAGCGTAACTTTCCATGTGAAGTCATTAAGTTGGAGGACATTCATACACCCCCAGTATCGGCGGACGTAGAATATTTAGTTAAAGGTGGTCGAGGACGCATGTCTTGTCTTTCAAATAACGCACTGACTGTCCCTTCAATCCTACTAGAACCCGATAAATGCGCTTGGGGTCAGCTTTAAGTTGAGAAGTACCGAAATGGGGAACCTGTTTTACCTCTTTCCCAATTGCTGGTGATCTGTATGCTGGGATCTGACTACGGCAACTTCCTGTCGCTCCCGCCCTCTCGCGAGACAAAATACGCCGTAGCATCGTTAATGCCTGAAGAGTTGTGAGGCGAGTGTTGGTGGATTCCTCTACATTTGCACTGTTAAGACCTGCCACGCGAACTTACCTTGGAAAATATGGATCCTGAGTTCGGCGAGCGTCACGAATCGAATCCTTATAGTGGAAACAGGGACGCCACTTCGACAGCTTATCAGCGGTGCTAGAAGTGTCGATCTGTTCTTAAGAGTTCTATTTTACACCAAGCGGGACCTGCCGCGTTTATCCATCGATCAGAATAACATGTCAAATGAGGCTGCATATTCAAAAATTGAGGGCAGTCCCGTGACGAAGTTCGTTTCTCGCTGCCCATCTCTTCCTTTTCGGCAACTGCAATAATCGGCCAGTGCGCCGACTGCTGGTGCGAAGATGCGTTTTTTGCACAGTTTCCCACAGTTTTCATCGCTAACGGCACTGTTTTTTCAGGCATATGCTTCTAGCTAAAAGAATTGAGAATGGCCACCATGACTGTAAGAAAATGTTCTCTTAAAATTTCAGCTTTTTAGTTTTTCTGGTTCCCGAGTTAGCAACTTGTCCACTAAAAATTTTCACAGGCCTGTACGGGGGAAACACGTCCCCAGGAGTGTCCATTTTGGGGGTAGGGGCCTGCACATAAATGTAGATTAAGTTCCCGAAGTTTCAGCCTTGGCGGCAATTACAACTTAGTAGAAAGTGTACCGGCTGCCGGTACGAGGATGCGTTTTTTGCACAGTTTCCCCCGCAGGTTTTTTTCGCCAGTGGCACGTTCTTCCTGACAGATACTTCTAGCTAAAAGAATTGGAACTGGCCACCACGACTGTTAAAAATTATTACAATGACTCCCAATCCATACCCAGAAGATCCAGCGCTCTGGATGCTTCGCTTGCAGAGTTACCGTACGTCTGGGCACCACAGAAGGCCTTGTGAAGGTAAATTGCTATCTTAGGAACCACGAAAGCAAAGAAGCTAGAATTTTAGGGTAATACCTCCTGCTCACGCACGACTGCAAGTTTAAATTCATCCATTCCGTGCGACTGGTGTCACATGCGCTCTCGCGAAAGTTTTGATTGGAAAATTATTATCTCGGGCATCAAAAAAGCTAGGAGGCTGAAAATTTCAGGAGAATGCTTTCTACTTATGCAGGGGTCTCAGAAACTCAAATTTAATTTCCAAGTAGTCAAGGTCCTACGTACGAACACGTGAAAGCTTTGGCGCGGAAGTTATTCGAAAGCCAGAAAACAAGGAGATTGAGATTTTGAAAGGACGCTCACCGTCCAAATTTTTAAATTCAGCCTTTGCACACGCTTTTGTTCCACGTGCCGGTACATAACATTTTTAGCGGGAAATTTCGCAACTTAGGAACCGGACAAAATGTCGGCTATTTTTGCAAAGACCAAACTGTAAAGCAATGAAAATCCTTAGCAGGCATACGTCCGCTGGACCAAACTGTGCAAAACGCATGATCGCACTGGTTGGTCTGGTGCGCACCGCTATTTATTGTAACTGTCTCCCTTTCTCTTCCACCGCTTTATCAAATTTGACGATTAGCACATATTTGTGAACTGAGCTCTTCGTTTTTCAGCACATTTTAACAACTCTTTGTCAATGTTGTACTTCAGCCTCACTTTACCTCATTTCTGCCATAATTTATCTCGTTTTAGCCTTAATTTACCTCATTTACCTTATTTCTTGCATTTTGTTGCATATTTATGTAAATGCAAAAACGCATACAGGCAAAAAGCTTTCTGTTTTTTATGTGTGTTGTGTGTGTGTATGTGTGCATGTGACAAAAGTCAAATCATTGGCGGTGCGCACCGAGTAGGCCGGTGCAAGCATGCGTTTTTGCAGTACTTAGTGCTGCACTGAGATCGCTTGGAATACCAGTAGCTAGAGTTTGTGGCTTACTGGTTCTGAAAGTTCAGGTAGTTAACTGCGCAGCTTTGTGGTGTACCAGTTATCAACGTCGACTTCTAACAGACTGACGGTGGTGTGCAAAAGAGACCCCACGGAAAGAATCAGTCACTTTTTGTAAGCACTGCCTTTGTTGCAGTCAAACGAATTTCTCTGCTACGCTATCGCTGATATTGTAAATTAGCGTACTAATGGGGAACGTCACGTGGGTCCTGACCTTGTGTATGAGCATTTTAGAAAGTGGCCAAAATTCAACCAACTGAAGCGCGCGCTGCTAGTACGATCATGCTTTTTTTACGATTTCGTGTTGCAGGTGAGATCGCTTAGACTTGCACACATCACTATATCCTCAGAAAATTTTACATTCTTAGTGGTTCCGACCGCTTTTCTACCAGAAATAGTTTGTCATGCGCACGTACGCGTGATACAGGAATACGCAAGTTTTATTTCAAGTATATTGACTCGTACAGAGACATCAAATGTTCTTATAAAACCCAGGCTGGAACGCACCAGGCGGGCCGGTGCGATTATGCGTTTTTGCACTTTTCGTG